TTTGTGATTATTTGTGTGTGTGTGTGTGTGTGTGTGAGTGTGAGCGTGTGTGTGTGAGACAGAGAGAGAGTGTGTGTGTGTGTGTGTGTGAGTGTGTGTGTGTGTGTGTGTGTGATCAGAATCTCAGGCATTTAAAGCGAAAGAAAATACTGGAGAAGACGAAGAGGTAGGGCTCACAGCAGTGTGACGAGGTTAAGGAGAGGCTGCTATGACATGAGGGATGCCTGAGAACGTAATTGTCAAAACTATCACCCGGCCAGCCAGTCTGTATTACAGAAAACAGCGGAGATTGAGAGCGTGGAGAGGGATTGAGACATGTCGTAGACTGGTCTAAAACCTGCTTTGGTCATGTAAGACATAGATGCGCTATAACTGCTGAACCCACAGATCCAACCAGCAAGTAAATTTTAATTAGCAAATTGTGTACCATCTGCTACAGATTAACCATGAACCTGAAGCTTCATGCATATATTTTTATGAGGGGGCACCAGTTAGCATTCCTAACTCATTTGCTGCCCAAGGCAAGATGAGACATGACCAAAGTAGAAAAAATAAAAATAAATAAAAAACACTGCAATGAGACACTGGGTTCAAATTCTGACATGATATACTAATGTTTAAAAGTTTGGGATCAGTAGGACGTTTTAATGTTTTTGAAAGAAGTCTCCTATGCTCATTAAGGCTGCACTTATTTGATCAAAAGTACAGTAAAAACAGTAATATTATTATAAATATTATTACATTTTAAATAACTGTTTTCTATTTGAATATGTTTTAAAATGTAATTTATTCCTGTGATGCAAAGCTGAATTTTCAGCATCATTACTCCAGTCTTCAGTGTCACATGATCCTTCAGAAATCATTCTTATATGCTGATTTGCTGCTCAAGAAACATTTCTTATTATTTTTAATGTTGAAAACAGTTGTGCTTTTTGTGGAAACTGTCATACATTGTTTCCAGGATTCTTTGATGAATAAAAAGAACAGCATTTATTTGAAATAGATATTTTTGCAACAACGTAAATGTCTTTACTGTCACTTTTGATCAATTGAATGCATCCTTGCTTAAGAAGTTTAATTTTCTAAAAAAAAAAAAAAAGACACCCTAAATTTGTATATATATATAAATTTGACAGAACAGCTTATTAATGTGCAATAGCGTTTTAGATTTACCCGTTTTACTTTATAAGCCTGTTTAACTTCATTTTCAAAGGCAAATATATGTGTCCCCTCAGTTTAAATGGAAATAATCTGCCATATCCAACATATTTTTAAGCTATTTTGGTAACTGGCCTGCGACAAGGGAAGGAGGTAGTACTAGTCCATCCAAATAGTATTTGACAAGTTAATGCCTTTTACAAGCCAGTGACCAAGATTTGCATTTAGACATGCAGCCAGTGTTTTTGGCAATGTTTCCATACTGGCTCCATTGGTGTACACAGCTTTGACCACTTAAATAAATTTAATATCAGACAGCTACTTTTGAATTTCCAAACGTGGCACGTTTTGTAAGCCTTAAAGGAGAAGTGAGTTTTTTCTGTATCACAATAATAAATAAATAACTTTTTTCAAACGATTTCACAGATTTCTCAAACATTGATCAGAAACAGTAACGCCCAAGTCTTGGTTTATGATCTAATAGTTGCTGTATCAGACAACGTTTAATAGCAACTACAAATGGTTACCTCATAGTTGTCTCTTCAGATTAAAGCAATTGTTCATCCAAAATTGAATATTCTGTCATTGTAATCCAAACAGTAGCTGGTTTCCATTTACTTCCATAGTATTTTTCCCTACTATGAAAGTCAATGGAGACCAGCAACTGTTTTGAAGAACCCACATTCTTCAAAATATCTTCTTTTGTGCTCAACAGAAGAAAGAAACACACACAGGTTTAGAACAATTTGAGGGCGAGAAAATGATGACAAAATTTAAATTTTTGGGTGAGCTATGCCTTTTAGCTGGGACAAAAGAAAGCGATGTAGTAAACATTGAAAACAAAAAAACATACTTCAATCTGATCTTTTTTACTTGTTTTCTCCAGCTGTAACCTACAGGGGCAGGATGGCTGAAAGTTTCTAGCATGGCTGAAAGAAAAGGACGCTGATGAAGAAACTGACAAAAGGACTGACCTACGTCACAGTTGGCTGGACTTCCCCAGCAGAGACCACAAGGGCCCAGCAAAACATCCATGAAGCCATCTGGGGAACCAGCTCCAAAAATGAAAGACAAAAGAGTGAAAAGATATAACCACAGAGAGACAAGCGCTGAGAGAAATTACTCACAAACAGCCCATCTATGGAGAGAACGACTGAACTGGTACTGCTCATGGAGGAGTGTAATTCAGAGCGATCCGAAACTGCTTACGTTCTATCAAGCCGTGGAGATCTGGCGCGATCCACTTCAGCCCGGTTTGGTCTGGTTTGTTTGGCAAAAAAACGAACCAGACCTGTGGGTCCTCCAACATGTGTTTCAGTGCTATGTTCTGAGAATGGACTTCTTTAAATACATGGACACAATAACTCTGAATAGACTCTTTAAGCACAGTGTGTTTTTTAAAACATAAAAAGTTTAGATTTTGTACAATATCATATACTAAATTATTATTATTTATTTTACTCCCCACATTTTAGCTGTGCATGTGTAAAATGCTTGCAACATTAATATATCTGTGTTGTACAGGTTAACACTTCAGTAGTCCACTGATTTTTTTTTTCCCCCAGTGCAGCCAACTCAATATAAGCTAGAAGATTTCCCGCTCTAAAATCCATCTCCACTCCTGAGAATGTGCTTCACAAATTTGAATGGGAGCGTTTGAATTTGGTTGCTGTGCAATTGAGTGTAAACTGTGTAAAACTGAAAATAGACAATGAGAGGAAGGCCAATTCTTCATTCATACAGTTCTGGATACATTGTATATTGACACCAGAACCTAAAAATAACTCATGGCTGTTAGATAGTTGCTGGATGTTATTCCAGCAATGCTAAATGACACAATATAATAACAGATATGGCATGAGATCATCTGGCTGCATAGCATCCTTTGAGGCCACTACAGTTTTCCCAATATCAGAATCCCCGTAGATTTCAGGAACCAGTATATTTTTTACAATTCTTGATACTATTTGAATATCCTAAAATGCCACAATATATGCTTTTTAACTCACTCAAAAAAAAAAAAAAAAGGGATGCACTGATATTACAATTTTGGTCGATACCAATAATAATTTTCATGGTACAGCCGATGACCAATGAATATAGCTGATGTTGATATTCCACACTATTTTATTTTAAGAAATACATTTGTTAAAGATTACAATTACTATGATTAATTACTATCATTTCATTTTTTTCTCAAACAGTGATTAGGTCATCTTGAAGATGAACTTAAAGTGTCAGATGATACAAAGGTAATCAAGTATGCACAATTACACTGAAAAAAATTTTGAAAAATTGTATAAACAATTTTCACACAGAAATTGCTAGTAAATTTCAGTTAATTATAAAGAAACAGCAATTAAACATGAAATTCTGAAATAGAAAAACTGAAATTTTCTTAAATTTAAAACATTTTCTCGTAAAATGTACTCTAGTAATCCATTTTATTTACATTTTTAATTTTGAAATATCACTTTTTACAGTGTATACATCCAATATTGAGGTGTACCAATAAATAAAGAAAAATATCTAATATTATCCAATAACTTATATACTGTATCATGCATCCCTATTCAAAAATTATCCTTTACTTTGACATTCATCAGATTTATCTGTTTTGCTGGCTCATGTTCAATGCTGCTATTTTATTTTATTTATTTTTTATAATTGTTTTTTTTTTTTTTTTAGTTTCTTGTAAATTTAAAGAAAGCATTACACTCCTCCAACCATTGCAATTTACAGGACTCTACGCACAATATTGTTTTTATTATAGGCCTACAACATAAGCAAGCACCTGAACCTCATATTGTAGAATATATTTTTGACATAGGGGCCGAGAGGGAACACATTCACCAATTTGTTCTATAATATGACTTGCTATGCTTAATGTGATACTTGCCAAAAAAAAAAAATGTCGTTTTGAAATTTTTTCCAGATTTCACTGATCACAATGCCATCTCATAAGTCGAAAAAAAAAAAAAGGGATGCACTGATATTACAATTTTGGTCGATACCAATAATAATTTTCATGGTACAGCCGATGACCAATGAATATAGCTGATGTTGATATTCCACACTATTTTATTTTAAGAAATACATTTGTTAAAGATTACAATTACTATGATTAATTACTATCATTTCATTTTTTTCTCAAACAGTGATTAGGTCATCTTGAAGATGAACTTAAAGTGTCAGATGATACAAAGGTAATCAAGTATGCACAATTACACTGAAAAAAATTTTGAAAAATTGTATAAACAATTTTCACACAGAAATTGCTAGTAAATTTCAGTTAATTATAAAGAAACAGCAATTAAACATGAAATTCTGAAATAGAAAAACTGAAATTTTCTTAAATTTAAAACATTTTCTCGTAAAATGTACTCTAGTAATCCATTTTATTTACATTTTTAATTTTGAAATATCACTTTTTACAGTGTATACATCCAATATTGAGGTGTACCAATAAATAAAGAAAAATATCTAATATTATCCAATAACTTATATACTGTATCATGCATCCCTATTCAAAAATTATCCTTTACTTTGACATTCATCAGATTTATCTGTTTTGCTGGCTCATGTTCAATGCTGCTATTTTATTTTATTTATTTTTTATAATTTTTTTTTTTTTTTTTTTAGTTTCTTGTAAATTTAAAGAAAGCATTACACTCCTCCAACCATTGCAATTTACAGGACTCTACGCACAATATTGTTTTTATTATAGGCCTACAACATAAGCAAGCACCTGAACCTCATATTGTAGAATATATTTTTGACATAGGGGCCGAGAGGGAACACATTCACCAATTTGTTCTATAATATGACTTGCTATGCTTAATGTGATACTTGCCAAAAAAAAAAAATGTCGTTTTGAAATTTTTTCCAGATTTCACTGATCACAATGCCATCTCATAAGTCGAAACAGACCACTTCCTCTTTCACTGAATTTCCTCTGTAACGGCGTGAATTACAGTCTATCAAAAAGCTTTTCTAGCAAGGATTGGAAACTTTAGCACTATAATATATCTGATGATGGAGTCCGGATGTTATGATAACAGGACAAATGAGAAGAGGATTTTAGGTACATTTCTTTTTTCAGGTTTTTGATCAGTTACAGTGATCAATATAAATGTATTATTTAAGTGAGAATGCAAAAGAAAAACAAAAATGAAATGTCAGATGAATACTAATTGATATTAAAAAACATTTTAAGCAATCAAATCTTTAAGAATTCAGTCTACCTTTCAAGCTCTGTACATAAAAACCTGCTAAATGTATGCAATTACCGGTATATGTATGTAGGGCAAAAGAATGTTTGAGCTGACAAAAATGCTCAAAAATTAAATCTATTAAAAATATTACATTCTTTATGTGGGTCTCAGAATGAGTGAGGAATACAGTTAAGATGGTTTAGATTTAAATTCATTGCATCAAAATGACAAGGCAATGTGTTCATCACTGATGAAGATTTAGAATAGGCCTAGTTATTTAAATGTGCACTTAATCGTTTCTCCCTCTTTAAAAAAGGAAATAAAGAAATAAATCACTTTTAAAATTTGTTTAAAGTCATGTGCACTTACATGAATACTCCAGTCATCCCTAATGAAAAAGAAGTGCACTTTGTTGTATTGAATGTGCACTTGTAGTGTACTTCAAATCTTAAAGGGGTCATATGATGCTGCTAAAAAGAACATTATTTTGTGTATTTGGTGTAATGAAATGTGTTTATGCGGTTTAAAGTTAAAAAAACACATTATTTTCCACATACTGTACATTATTGTTTCTCCTCTATGCCCCGCCTTTTTGAAACGCGTCGATTTTTACAAAACTAATCGGTCTGAAAAGCGAGGTGTGCTCTGATTGGCCGCAGGTTTCGCACGTTTGGAAAATTCCCGCAAACATTTATTTAATATACAGTGTAGGTTAGATGAGTTAAAAAAAAAAATTCACACAGAATATCGGATTAAGTCAATCATTTGAAAACAGCGTGAGTGGTTCAGCTGTACCGCGTCTTCTGGCTCTCACTCTCTCAAAATTGCCTCACATCAGCGCATCTCATCTGTGCCCGTTTATGTTTCTGTGTTCCTCAAATAAACTGCAGGTCTGGGCAGGGTGCTGATGCCAAGATAACAGGGGCACCGGCGATAACGAGAGTAACATGAGTGTGGAGTGAGTGGATTTGCTCTTTTGGGACGTACTAAAAAGAGAATGTGGAGAATTCCTCAAAAAAGAAGATGTACAAATGTCATAGAGCAGGACAGATTGGTTAGGCATCTGATAAGCAGCTCAGCCAACAGTTGGACTCACCCTCCAAAACAATGTGTACAAGAATTTCACCCGGCAACAACAGTGAAGCACATGTGAAAATCACAAGACAATAAAAATCCTAACAGGTTAACTAAAGGTCAGAAGGCTTTTTTTCCCCCTTCAATGATACACAAGTAGTTCCACAGATCAGATGTAAAAACCTGATGAAGAAAGCACAGGCACTGTCCATCCACTCATTTTTCTACAGAGATACACTACTGTTCAAAAGTTTGGGGTAGGATAAAAAAAAAAAACTTTTATTCAGCAAGGATAAAATAAATTGATATCTATTTATTTAACAGTATTATCTTTTTAACAGTATTGTTTTGTCGTTTAATTGTGTTAGCTTCTGGACGTGCCATATTTTTATATAGGTATGTTTGGATTAATGATGTAAATAAATAATAAAAGAACTAAATAACCCTTATCTTTGTGTTTTTATTTATTTATTTATTGTACTGGTGATGTAAAGGAATAAGGATGACACTCTCAGGGCATGTTTAATGATATTTTATTTGATGATTTGTTAATGCGTCATCATGTCATGACTTTACTTCAAAGGGCCATCATAATTAACTCATTATTAACTATCCCTACACTAACATCAACTCATGGTTTGTTAATGCATTATTTTTCCATGACTTTACTTGAGGGGGCCCAACCATAATTAATGCACTTTTAACTACTTACTAAACTCAGATCATGGTTTATTTTATACTTAAAGGGGTCATATGATGCGATTTCAAGTTTAGAGGTAGATATGTGGGGGCGTGTTCGAACGAGCCGTTTTAGGTAGGTGTGGCTAACTCTTAACTTTTATAAAGAATATCTCTTTGGATTTGAGACTTTAGTCTTTGCAACTTTACAGATCTTCTTTATGCACCAAGAGCTTGTAACACTCTAAAGAGAAAGGAAAAAATGAAATCGCATCATATGACCCCTTTAAAAGTACATTAAAAAAAACTCTACTTGTAGTAAAAAGTCACTAGTTAAATGTACTTTAGGTGCACTTTCATGACTGTTTCTTAACACACCTAAGTACTTTTTCTGCATCCAATTAAGTGTCCAAACACATTACATTCATTTCACACTTACAGTATATTACAAGTATATTGCATAATTGTTTTAAAAGAACAGTGTGCTTCTTTTTCACAGGGGATATCAGTAGCCTAATAAAAGCAGTTTTATTTTACATGTATTGGGGCATCACATGGGGACCAACATGTTGAGATCACAAAACCAGCCAACTTACTTTACTTTGTCAATTCCTTCTGACTGCCATTACAATCGGTAATTTATGCTATTATGCATCCACACCACTAGATGTCAGTATAAGTCTATATAATCAGCACAACATAAACAATGATTAAGTGCATCATACCTAAAATTATTTACAGCTCACCAGACAGATATAGAGTATGC